GGGACGTGCCAGACGGGGGGGAGGGCCCAGGAGCCAGCCCCGCTGCTCCGCAGTCTGATTGGCTGTTGGGATCCTCTTGTGTGGCGATTGGTCCGACTCCGATGCCCAGCAGCCCCATTCGGCTGGCAGGGTGCGGGCCAGGGTCGGGAGAGCGGGCGCTTTGCTTGAATCTGCCTATCCGGTGCCTTGCTACCCACATTTGAACGGAATTTCCCTTTTTTACAAGGAAAGCCTCCCCGCTGTTCGGGAAGCACTGCAAGACATCACTTCAGTTCGGTTCTAGGGGAGAGCTGGGGGTCCTTGTTGTAAAATAGGAAACTGTTCAGAGTAGAGGTTGATGTGACAGTGTTATTCTTTGTATACAGGCCTCGAAGAATTTGAAACTGCGCAGGTATGCATCTAATAACGGGGTGTGCGTAGAACACACCACATGCCAGAATAAACAGTGGTCCGACTGCAGTCTCGTTCTCTCTCTAAAATAACAGCGCTTTAGGTATTCAGCTATCGTTACGGTTGGGTCTCAATCTATAATATTATGCCGACTGCGTGTCGTCTCCGTTAGTAAGTATTAGGGCTGTGCAAGTCAGCAGCGATCCGATCCGGCTGCTTCGGATGACCGTGATCCGATCTGGAGTGCTGGACTGGGTTTCCGCCTCGATCCAGCCAAAGCGGCTCTGAAATTTTGGAGCTGCCTCGGAGATCCGGCCATAGGGTATAATGAGGAATCAATTAAATATCTATAACTTTGGACAAGAAACAACAATCTGGATGAAACTTGCAGGGATGGTAGCCTCTGATGAGAGCATGAAACCTGCCAAGTTTCAAGAATATCAGTGCAGCGGTTTGAGGGGAACTGTACCCCAAATTCTTGAAAGCCAAACTCATGTCGCGACTGTGTGTCACACCACAGGGGGGTGAAAACTGCAGGGCTGGTAGCTCTTACTGAGGCCACAAAGCCGGCCAAGTTTCAAGGAGATCGGTGCAGGGGTTTGGGGGGAACTGCACCTCAAGCTGCCGACAAGCAAAACTCGTGCCATTGCGTGTGTTAAGGTGCAGCAGGGTGACAGTTCCCCCCAAATCCCTGCACCGTTCTTCTTGAAACTTGGCAGGCTTTGTGGCCTCAGTAAGAGCTACCAGCCCTGCAGTTTTCACCCCGCTATGTTGTAACGCCTACATGTGACATGAGTTTTGTTTTCAAGAATTTGGGGTGCTGTTACTGCCAAACCCCTGCACTGATCTTCTTAAAACTTGGTAGGCTTTATCCTCTCTGCGGAGTCTACCACCCAGGAAAATTTCATCCAAATTGTACAAAACCCAACAAAGTTATATTTTATTGTTTCCCCATTATACCCTACGGCCAGATCTCCGAGGCAGCTCCGAAGCTCTTCGGGAGCTCCAAACTGCTTTGGGAAGCCTAAGGAGGCCAGCGCTTCGACCTGGACGTGCTGCTTCCAACCCCAAAGCGTCTGAAGTTTTCCAGATCCGAAGCTCTGTCCAAATCCTCGCACAGCCCTAGTAAGTAAGAAGCCTCACTGCGATAGATGAAATTGTTCGGAGAGGGAGTTGGGTGAGGCGCTGCCTGCCAGCTAGACTTGCATGCAGCGTTACCCTTCAGGCTGTTACAGTACCGAACATAATAGCAGGGCATAGCCCTGCAAACGTATGTCAAATGCATTAGCCGAGGAGCTGTACTATAACCGGCGGGAGCAGCGCCAAATTGCTCAAGATTCACTGCCATGTATGCTTCCAGCTTAGTGACAAATGGTGGGTGCAATCTTGAAAGCAGTGGAGAATCAAAAGCCACTTTGTGCATTTGTTGATGCACCTGGTGGTACAGGAAAAACATTCTGCTTCTACATGATTGTTTCAGCAGTGCACTGGGAAGGGAAGATTGCATCGGCTGTGGCATCCGGTGGAATTGCTGCTACCATGCTTACGGGAGGCAGGACTGTGCACCGAAGGTTCAGGGTACCCCTGAATGTGCTGAAAACCAGCACCTGCAGCATATCAGCACAGTCTGACCTTGCTGAGCTGATTCGAGAAGCACCTATCATCATCTGTGATGAAGCACCAATGGCTCATCGGTACATGCTGGAGACTAGAACGGATGCTGTGAGATTTACTGCAGACCAATTTACCTTTTGGTGGCAAGGTGATATAGTGTTTGGGGATGATATTGGGCAAATCCTGCCTGTTGTGAAAAATGCCTCAAGGCTACAAATAGCAGAGGCATGCTTCAGGTGATCTGAGTTGTGGAACCACTTCCAGGTTTTCCAATTTGGTGAGAACATGCGACTATGTAAGGGAGGTTTTGATGCACGAAGTGCAAAATATGCTCAGCAAAGATAGAATGGACATTTCCAAATCTATTGGATAACTATCAAAATCCAGGATGGACATCTGAAAGAGCTATTTTGGCACTGCATTATTCCATTGTACAGGAGATCAACAGTGCTATTGGGGCAAAATTTCCAGGCCAAGAATGGATTTGTATAAGCACATGTGGTCTTTCAGAGGATGAACGTGTTATGGCTGTGCCAACTGAGTACCTGAATTCCATGGAGGTGTCAGGTTTGCCTCCACATCAGCTCCACCTTAAGCCTGGGATGCTCATCATGCTTCTGCGAAACCTTGCCCCTAAGGTCTGTGCAATGGAACGTGGCTATTGGTGCAATCCATCAGCAGCAGCAGACTACATGAGACAAAAATTGTTGGATCAGAAAGAACAGTACTAATTCCTCGGATAGCACTGAAGCTGTCTGACGACACCTTTCCATTCACGTGGACACGTCGACAGTTCCCTGTGCAGGTGGCATTCAGCATGACCATCAATAAAGCCTTAGGGCAAACATTAAAAAGAGTAGGAGTGTTCCTTCCGGATCTTGTCTTCACTCATGGACAACTATATGTGGCTGCTTCCAGAATCTCCCACCCAGAAATCATCCGATTTGAAGTGACTGCTGACTCGAGTAACAAACCAGGAACGTTGTGTGTACAGAAGTGTTGTAAATCTCTTACAGTAAGAAAGTGTCATATGTTTGAGGATTTTATGTATGCGGAAGTGTTGTGAAGCTGTTGAAGTGCAATAAAATATGATCTCAAGCAAAAATTGGCTCATTGGATTTTCATGCAAGCAACGCTGCACTGGGCATCTAGTATATATTACTACGTGCAGTTAATAGATATTCAAGTGGCACCTTACGCATACATGTAGTATTAAAAAACCCTCAGTGCTGCCCTCCTGTGCCTCACCCTGTGCATTGCAGCCAGGAGAGAAGGGCAGATAAGGGAAATAGCTCGGTGCTGCCTAGGCGTGGTTCTCACTGAGCTTTGGGGCCTGGAGATCCTGGCAAAACCCGGCCAGTGCCACAGTCCTGAGCTTCGCACTGGGCAGGGTAGCCAGGAAATGCTGCCAGAGAAATAAAAACTGCCCAGTGCTGCCGTCCTGTGGCACACACAGGACCTTGGGGCCAGGAGACGAGGGCAGAGAGAGAGAGAAAGTGGCTCAGAGCCATGGAGCTGGGGCCGGGCGGGACCGGACAGGGATCGCGCTGCTCAGGGCAGACGCACGATTCACGAACATGGATCGCAGCAGGGCCTGGATCGCAGTCTCGCGTTTCCATTGGTCAATTTGAGGCGTGAGGCGATTGGGTGGACTGGCCGCATGGGCGGGGTCAGGGCCATTCCACCCATCTTTGCTCTGATTGGCCTCTGCTGGAGGAGGCGGGCCAAGGTGCTCCTTTTCCTTGTTCGCATTCTGATTGGCTGCCAGGGCGTGGTGGGTGTGTGCCCTCTTCTGTGTGCTGATTGGTCCGACTCTGATCCTCAGCAGCTGTGTGCAGCTGTTTGTCTGTCTGTCTGCTGCTGGGTCCACTGTGCCTGGAGCCCGCCTCCTGCCGCTGGCCCGGGCACCCGGGTGGTCCTGGAGAGCTGCGGCAGCCTTTCTGGTGCCGTGACGGGTCATACGGGACACTGCGTTCCCCACGGTGCCTGGCAGGTGCTCTTGAGGTTGGTGTTAGCAACACAGTCTGTGCTGGATTTCTCTTGGAGGGATGAGAAAAGAAGAACCTGTTGCTGTTCAGTAAACACTGCAAGAAACCCTTTGGGTCCTGGAGGCAAGACTGGGCTCCTTGCTGTAAAACTCCAGGCAGGGGGTCAGACTTGAAGATCTACAAGGTCCCTTCCGACCCTACTTCTATGATTCTATGAAAACAGTGTGGTGGTGCCACCAGGGCATACCGGAGTGACCCTGCTTCTCCTGGTGCTCACTGTGAAGCATGTGAATCTGTG